TGGCTCTCTGTACGCGCTCTGTACGCAGGGGGGCGTTCCTCATGTGACGGCTCTTGTAAACGTTGTGTGCCGTCTGGATCCCTTTCCCGGCTTTAAAAGGTCAGGGTAGCCCACGCGATAGACTCAGTCATACTTATCTACGTCCGCTCGCCCGTTAACATTAGGTTGTGCTGCATACAAAGAGATGTTCGAAATGCTGCACTGTGCCCACACTGTGCCAAGTCAGTAGCAGCGCTGCAGGCTGACATCAGTCACAGTCTTGCTTGGTCTGCATTTCTGTTGACTGAGAGGTGCCCACCCACCTCCCTCCCTCCCCACGGGATACTTGTGCACAGGCAGGATCCGGCCCCCTCTCCAGTCTCGGGATTGTAGCCGAATTACCACGTGCAGCAGGCCTGAGTCACAGCAGTCAGCGGCTCGCCCCCGGCACTTCACAGAGTGCAACCTTGAGGCTTTTCTGGCCACTCCACTCAAAGCGCTTTACAGGTAATGGGGACTCCCCTCCACCACCACCAATGTGCAGCCCCACCTGGAAGAATTTGCAGAGGCTGGCGCCCTGCTGCGTGCGGTGATGAAGTCACAGTATTCGGTGAATAAAGGTGTCCGATCCTGAGAATGGGGTTTGGGACTAAGGGGCTCCTGGTCCTGGGGGGGCCCCTGGGCCGTCGCCGCCAGGGATAATGGGTGCCAGTCGCTTTCTCGTGCAGCCAGAGAGCATTGTTTCCAGCGACTCCAGGATGGAACTTCCTGCCGTCTCTCCCCAGCTTGCCAGCGAAGGGTTTGCGCGTGCCGTCAAGAACGCGGGTGAAAGGAGCACGGGAACGCAGCCTGTCGCCTGCTGGGGGCGCCAGGGCCCACCGCCTGCGCTGCGATGAGGTCTTGAACGTCCAGGCCGGGCCGAGGCAGGGTGGTCTGTAACGGGCAGGAGGGGGCTCTGCCCGGTCTCCACACACCCCCCCCGCGTGAGAGACCAAGGCTGATGGTCTTGTCGGAGCTGGAGAGTTTGCTCCTGGGACTGGCTGAATGGCAGGGGGTGGGGGTATTTGGTGCGTCTCTCTTGCTTGGCTGCAGTAACCTGTATCCTGGAGCGGCGTCTCCAGCTCGGCAGCCCCTGGACTCGGGGGTCAGGCGGGGGAGTCTCCTGCTCCTGTTCCCAGTCCTGTTCGTGCCCCCTCTTCAGTTCCACACAGCGCAAGTCCAGCTGCTCGGATTTCATTCCTGCGGATTTTTTTTAAATGGGCACTGTGGCAGTCGGCGTTGGGTGGAGGCGAGGGGTTGGACAGACCGCGGATGAGGAACGGGAGGCCGCGTGGGGAATGCGCCCAGCCCCGGGGGGCGGAAACGGGCTCCGGCACCCAGCTCTTAACAAACACATCCTGCAGGAGCTCCTGTTGGGGTTTTTTCGAGACGCGGACACGTTTGGTTTAAGTGCTGTGCTTCGGCATGATCCGCTCGGATGAATGCCTGCTGTTCGCCGCTCCGGGAGGGGTCCCGAGTTGTGTCCTGAGTTGTCCCACTCCCCCCCGACTCCAGTCCTGTTTGCCTGCTGATTGGAGATGTGGGCTTCGGGCCCTCGGTCGGCAGTCACCCATCCCGGCCCCCCGAGACCGTTTCCCCCGTTCCCTTGTCCTCTCACCTCCCTTTCCTCTCCCCTTCGCCTCAAGACTCTTCTCTCACCGCGCAGTCTGCGATTACTGACGGGTCGCGGTTTAAATAACTTTCTCTTTTTGCTGGGCTTGTGGGTTTTTAAAGATTTAAATGAATACCCCTCTGTCCCTGAATCTGTCAGTCCTGGGGTTTTAGAGGTTCGGTGATTTTTCTCCTCTTTGTGTGATTTGGCTTCCTGGGGACTTTGGGTTTAATCAAGTGCCTTTCTCTCCCTCTCCCTCCTCCTCCTCCTCCTCCTCCTCTCCCCTGTCTCTCCCCGCCTCCTCTCTCCCAGTGTGCATGGAGCAGTGTGAGAGTGCCGCCTCTCTCCTGGCCTCGGTGCGGGAGCAGGAGGCCCAGTTTGAGCGGCTGACCCGCGCTCTGGAGGAGGAGAGGAGGAGGGTCAGCCAGCAGCTCACCGCCGTCGCCAACGGCAGCAGCCCCCGGCCCCCTCCCGCACAGCAGGTACAGCCCGCCCCCCCCCCACTTCGTCACCATCATCCCATCTCCATCTCCACCTCCACCTCCACCTCCCTCTCTCTCTCACTCTCTCACTCCCCGTCATCTCCCATCAGCACCTTTCCCTCAAACCCGGGGCCTCCTGGTGTCCACCTCCAGCACCGCCCCTGCTAGCCCCCTGACCCGTCCATCACCTCTTCCTCCTCCTCCTCCTCTCTCCCCCGTCCGGGATGAGCCTAGCAGAGCAGGCGGTGGGCGGGGGGGGCAGCCGATGCTCTAGATTCTGCTGCTTTCGCTCCATCCCTGCTTCAGTTTGTGTCCGTTTATGCAGCGGGGTGTTAAACTGGAACAGTTCAGGTGAAGTGCCCTGCTCGGGGGAACGAACAGCAGCTCGGGACTCAAACCCGCAACCTCCCGTTAACGAGTCCGGCGCCCTGACCACCGCCCCACACCGCTGCCCCCTGTGCGGGCGGTCTGGGGTGTCGCAGAGGCTCCTCATGCGTCTGCTTGAGCAGTGTTTCCTCCTTCTTGAGGAAGAAGCCATGCACATCGATGGCCTGTACTTTCTGTTCCTTTGGGGTAAGGAGCTGTCTGCGTCGGCAGTATCCCTCGTGTCAAAGCGGGGTCTCTCTCACTCTTGACACTGCTCGGCGGTCTGTTTCCCTGCCTGTAGTGCAGCAGCGAGAGGTGTGTAGCTGTACTGTTGTGGGACTTGAAGGGCCAGGGCGTGTCTAGCTGGCCCCAGGCTCTTAATTCTGAGAGGGAAAGGAACATGAAACACTTCTCCCATCCTTGTAGTAGTAGGGATATTGTGATAACCCCCCCGAGTGGAGACTGGAGGTGCTGTGAATGGCACCAGCAGTTATGCAGCTCTGAGAAGCGACCCCTGACCTTTCTGCCCACGAGTCAGGCCTCAGGGAGGGAGCCTGCTACCGGTTCGACAGTGGCTGGGGAATTGCCGCCGAGGGGCAGGGTAGGGGTGGGGCACGTTTAGCCTCGTCGGTGGTGGTGGAGAGGATCTGATTCAGCTGTTGCTTGAGAGGAATAAGGGTATCGGTTTCAACAACGTGGCTGGGCAGCTTGTTCCACGCTCCCACCACCCTTTGTGTAAGGAATTGCCTACTGTTCCTGGTTTTAAATGCTCTCCTCTGTATTTACAACTTCTGTCAGGTGGTTCTTGTTTCACTGTTCATTCGAAATCCACATCAAGGTAGTGCAGATCCAACATTCTCATGAGAAAGCGTTTTTAATGATTAGCTCCAGTGAGTCAGTGGAGGAGGGTGTGCCGCACGGTCTCTTGGCTCGGCAGGCCGAGTTTGTGAGCAGCGTGAGCGCAGGCTCTGTGGACAGGTGCGCGTGTCTATTATCTGTTATTATCTGTTCTGTGGGGGTACAGAGAGAGCGGTCTCTGTGTGTCGTTCCGTATGCAGCTCGTGAACGGCTTGGGGTTTTTGGATTCATTCTGCTACTGAGTATCTTCGAACAAGTAACTGGTTTTCGTGTCTTTGGTTAATAGGTGACTGTTTAACAGAGCGCGAAAGGGAAAGTTACTCTGAAGGCTGCGTGTTGACAGAACGGTCAGAGTTCAGATGGCTGGTTTTATTACACTGGGGCTCAGCACTGCGCATTGCTGTACAGTGCTCACGCGCTGCAGTTTCATTACAGTCCTGTATTGTACCTGTCTTCCTCCCTCAGTACAGAACTGTGCTGCAGATTGCTTTAGAAGGGGGGTGCCCTGCGTACCCCAGTTTGGGGAGGTGTAAAGGATTGTGATGATGGGAATGGAGAGCGAAGGAGTAGGAAGTGGATGCGGAGCTGCGGACAGAAATGGGATCAGTTCCCTGCCTTGCACGGCGGCTCTTTCCGAACACCGTGCAAGGCGCTGTGCCCCTCTGCTAGCTCGACAGGCCTGCAGGGGGGGTCTGGGAAAGAGAGGCATTGTGGGACTGCGGTCAAGAGTGCGAGCTGGAGCCCAGGCGACTGACGTGTGGCCGAGGGCCCTGCCCTCAAGCAGGAGCGTCATGGGGTCGTGCCGTCAGGGTTATCCGCGAGTGCTGCCTTGCTCAAGTGAAGCAGGCTTGTGACCGTCTCCACGCGCCTGAGCGTCTTTCCTCCATTGACTGTAGAGACTAGATAATGGCACTGTGTGTTGGATCTAAGTGAGCTTAGACTGAGGGTCTCCAGTCCCGGTCCGATTTGTCTTGTGGGTCATCCCATATGACTTGTTTAAGCAATCAGTCGGCTTGATTAAGGTCCTAGGGTTCTTGAGGGTCAGTGTTTTTTGTGTTGATTCTTTAAATTGTCTTAGACATCAACTGTTGAACAGTAAACTCTTTGATATCTTTGTAAAGGTCAGCATTAAATCGCCACTTTCGAATCTGCACAGTCAGGGCTCCCCAGGAGCGAGGCTGGTCGGAGATCCGTTGTTAGGTCATTTCATTCTTACTGTTCTCTTAAAATCCGGCATGCCAGTTTCAGTGTTGCTCGTCTGGCTCACTTGGTAGTATCTTGGTCCAGTGTTTGTTGGAATACTTGGATCAGCAAAACTGTTCTGTCAGTAAGCTCTCTGGAATGCATTTGATACTGTAAACTGTTGAATCAATAGACAGTCTGCCGATGCTGCCACCTATTGGGCACTCTGAAGTAATAAAGTGGGTAGCAGGGTTAATGGTGTCTGATCATCCTCCAGTCCTGGTCCTGGAGGGGGTTCTGTGTCTACAGCAGGACTTTTGGGGTCTTTCTAAACTCCCATGAATATCCCATGATTCAAGCTGCATTTGAAGGCTGCAGACACACAGGTCCAGGACTGGACTTCCCTGTCCTTGCATCAGGAGACGTGTCCTTGCTCCGGTGGTGCCTCTGTGTTCTGCTCTTGACTTCCTGTCCCTCTCTCTTTCCTCGGTGCAGAACGGCTGTGTGCCTGGCGATGCGGACATAGACAGACTGAAACTGAGCGAGGGATACGTTAACGGCACGCAGGTGACTGGCTCTTTTACAGACATGTTGGCCTGATGCGTTTCTCTGGTTTCTGTAGGGTGCATATCTCGACTGTCTTCTGTGTCTCTCTCCTTCTCTGGCGCGTATGACGCCTGCCTCTGGTTGCCCCGTCTCACTGAAGGCATGCTGTCATTACAGTACAGGATGCTGGACCCTGGTCACATCGTCGAGGAGACGGTTACAGTAGAGGAGGATCCAGAGCAGCCTGCCTCTGTGGTCTCCGTGGAAACCAGTGAGGATGGGACAACACGACGCACTGAGACCACGGTACTGGCCCAGATGTGACCCCCTTGCTTTAATAAGTCGAACCGTTTCCAATTGTAATACCCTCATGGTTACGTACTGTAGTGCCCGGTCAGTGTCTGTACTGTATTAACTCCCCTCTTTCTCTCTCTCTCTCTCTCAGGTAAAGAAGGTTGTAAAGACTGTCACTACTCGGACAGTGATCCCCTCAATCTCAGACAACCTGTCCCTGGATGGTTCTGTACAGGGAGGGATGGTTGGAGGAGTGAACAACTACTCCACTCTTGACCGTGTCTACAGACAGGGTGGGCCACAGGGTGTGGTTCCCCAGCATGGGGAAATGTATACCGGCACTGCCACAGTCCCCCGAAACTACCACTACGCCACTATTGGAGGAGGGGGGTATGAGGATTCTGGGTATCGGACAGGACCCCCATCGGACACCTACGCCAGTCTGAGCCG